CGCGGAAGCTGACACAGCAACGCCGCAAGCCGAGGCAGATCATCTTCCCAAATCTGAACCACCAGATCCTCCACGTTGCGGCAGTGCTGCGCAATCACCCCGAGCTGGTCGAGCGAGATGCCGATGCCATGCAGACGCAGCTTGGTAAGCTGGCCGCCTCGACTGCCGATCAGCCTGGTGAGGAACCATGTCGGCAGCAACGGCAGATTGCCCGGCGGGGCGGTACTTTTGGGCGCGCCGTATCGAACACTGCCTTCGGGAGGCGGTCCCGAGAATCGACGGATCCAGTCGCTCGACGTTCCCATCGCAGCTGAGCCCGATCCCTCGACACGGTCCGGCCGTGTGGCATGCACGTACTCGCCGTCATCGTCGTAGTCGGAATCGTCGTCGTCGAGCTCGTCCAGGTCCACCAGCCCATCGTCGCCCTCGTGACCACCGTCCATGGCGGGACGAGAGCCCGATCCGGCATAGTGGGTCAGCTCTCGCAGACCGTCGGCCTTCTCGACGAGCGTGGCGAAATCGGCGTAAAACTCGTGCAGCGATGCGGCCGACAGCGATCGCGAGCCGGACGAGGACGCGGAGCGCGGGTACGTGAGCGATAGCAAACGCAGCGACGAGGCGTACGGATGCAGAAGGCTCACGTCTTGCGCCTGGATGTTGAGGCCTTCCATGGCCAGATCGCGCACGCCTTCACCGCCTTGCGCTGCGCTGCGCAGAACCGCCTGGATCCCCCGCCCTGTCACCGCCCTGCATCCCGCCAGTGACAGCCGCCGCAAGTATCGAAGGTGCGGGGCTATTGCCATGAGGAGCGCGTCGGTCAAGTGCGGCGAATGCTGGCACAGTATGCTCAGACTGCGCAAGCCTGTCGGCCGCCCGTGGTCGTTGTCTCTGACGCTGAGACCGGCCATGTCCGAGGCGAGTGTACTCGAGCTACCGCACGAGGTGCCCTGAACCAATTTCGCCGCGACGTCGACGAGTCCACGAAGAGTAGACTTCTCAGGCAACATGAAGCTGAGCCCTTCGATGCTGAGAGGGATATGCCTGACCAGCGCCTGCGTGGTCCACAGCCGGGCATCACCTGCCAGCTCCAGCCTGTGCAGCTTTGGCGACGAGCCGAGGAGCGTTGGCAAGAGTCGATCGTTCAGACTGCCCGTCCTCGTCCACACGAGCTCTTCCAAATTGACGGCATACCTGAAGGTGGTTTCGATGTCGATCTCGAGCCGCTCGAGCCGCTCGGCGTCGAGGCCGAACGGGAACACACGCAGCTCGACCACCTTGACGAGCCGGCACAGCTGCGGGCGACTGCCGAGGCAGGCAAATACGAGCTTGAGCCGCGTCTGGTCGCGCAGAAAGAGCCGCTCGTAGAGAAGAGGCGTTGCGATCTCGTGGAAGAGACGGCAGACGAGTGCACATGCTGCCAGGTCGCGCACGCGGTGTTGGAGGTACGAAAGAATGGGCTCCAGCAGGTCCAGCGGCAGCGCGCCGAGCAGGCCCAGGCTGCCCACGTGCGAGCCCATCAGCCACCGAGTTGTCCGAGGGCATCAAAAGGGCGGCCTGCACCCGTTCCCTCGCCGTCGCTGTCCTTGAGGTAGTAATCGAGATGATATGGTGATAAAGCAAAGAAGCAGAATCAATTCTGAGGCCGACACAAAGCCGAGCCCATGGTCCGCGCATACTCATGTGGAGGTATTCCATGCCCGGCCTCGCTCTCGGCCACTAACCTCCCCCACTCCTTCGGTCGCACACAAAGCACCTTCAGGTACGACCCAGTGACCTCGGGAGACGACATGTATTCAGACTATTGTGATCTACAGAGGAGTCGCTACTACGCTACAGACGACGCATGTTGTACTCGGCCACCGCCTCGCTGATGGCGGCCATGGCCTGGCTCACCTCTGCCTCACGCTTGTCCTGGGCGGAAAGCAGGGTGAGCGATTCGTTCATGGGCGCAGGGAAGGGCGAGCTGTCGACGCCGCACTTGGTGCCCTTGTGCGGCACGGTGCCATTGACAAAGTAGGCGCCGATGATCTTGTCCATGCACTTGGACGGCTGTGACATGCTGCAGTGCCCGTATCCGGCGCGGCGCACCGAGACCGCCGAGCCGAACCTGTGCGCCATCATGTCGGCAAAGCGACCGGGCGTGACGGGGTCAAAGTCGTTGCCGAGCGTCAGGATGGGGAAGGAGGTGTTGCTGTCAAAGTGGCCGTGGTGTCGCTCGTTGGAGCGGATCTTCCACGACCCGAGGCACTTGATGCCCTGGTCTGCGAAAAACTGGCCAAACAGCGGCGAGTCCTCCTCGAGCACGCGGATGTGCTTCTTGGCATGCTCGATACCCCACGGCTTGTCGCGCGGGTCGTGCAGGCCGTCGCCGCACGCGATAGCGGCGTTCGCCTCTTCGGACTCGGGCACGATGGGGATGTGATACGTCGTGTCGCCATAGGCATTGACAAAGGCGGTGCCGTTGCCGTTCATGACGTCGTTGAGCATGTCGGCCAGCTTGGGCCAGCCGGCGGGCTTGTAGAGCGACGTAAAGACCGTCTCGAGCACCATGCTGAAGGTCAGCAGCTGCGGCACCTCGGCAGTGACGACGGGCATGGGGTGGTACTTGAGGTGCTCGAGCAGCTCGTCGAACTTGTGCTGCAGCTTCTTTGCGCTGCTAGCCTGCGAAGCGAGGGCGCACGCCTTGGGACCTGCCTTGACGCATTCCTTGAAGAAGCCATCCCAACCGCCGTCGGTGTCCTTGAGGTTGGTGCTCCACAGGCCTTGGTAGTAGTTGGGCACGTCGACGACGCCGTCGATGATGAGGCGGTTGACGTCGTCGGGGAACATGTCGGCGAACGTGGAGCCGAGCACGGTGCCGTAGCTGAAGCCCCAGTAGTTGATCTTTTCGTCGCCAAAGAAGCGGTGGAGGAGCTGCATGTCGCGCGCGACGGCGGTGGTGCCGACGTACTTGCCGTGCTCCGAGACAAAGGGATCGGCACTGCACAGCTCGCTCAGCAGCTGGGTGCTGGCGATCTCGGAGCCGACCTCGCTGTCGAGCGCACCCGGATGCGAGTAGAGCGCGCCAAACGAGCCGCTCTCGATGCGGTGCACGAAGCTCTTCTCGGTGTTGTTCCAGCAGTCCATGCGCGGGAAGGTGCGACCGACACCACGCGGGTCGAACGAGACGAGGTTGTACCTGCCCTGCATCACCGTGTCAAAGTTGGCGGCGAGCAGCTCGTTGTTCTTGGCGGCATTCTTGCGCGCGAGGAACTCGAAGCCCGAGCCTCCGGGACCACCAGGGTTGGTGAGCAGCGAGCCGAGCACCTGATCCTTGGGGGTGGCGCCAGCACCGGCCGGGTAGAAGATGACGGCGATCGAGGCGTTGCGGCTGTCGTCGTCGGCGTTGGTCCAGTCGAGGGGCGCCTTCATTCGGCCACACTGGAGAGGAGCGGGGTAGCGCTTTTCATCGTTGCAGTCGAACCAGACGACCTCGCCTCGTGCAGCCTGGGAGAAGTCGGTCTCGTTCTCTGGCTTCAGACCTGCGCCAAAGTGGGGCGCAGAGTGTTGGCATGGCTGGCCGAAACGGTGCGAGAGACGACCAAGAGCATCGGAGCCAGCGGGCGAGTTCAGCCAAAAGTAGGTCACGAGGAAGAGCCCGACGGCGACCCAGCGATGGAGGGGCGTGGGCTTGCGCTGACGCTTGCACTCATTGGCGGCGTTTTGGAGGTTGGGAGCCGGCAGCGACGATTCGATCGCGTTGTAGCGAGTCTCGATCGCCTGCTTCTCGTATGCCGCCATGGTCAAATGCTGTGCCAGGCGAGGTCAGAGATGGTGTGGATGGAGGGAGGGTAGGCATTGCCCTTGGACTCGTCAAGGGTGCACGACCCCGTTGCACGGCCCCGCCGGCACAGACCTTTTTGGTGCAGGCTGTGCTCAGGCCGCGTCGCCTCTCTCTCTGCATGCGGGGGTCCAACGGCAAAGCACCCGCTCGATCGGCGCGCTCGTCGGAGCAGCGCTGTCCGACGCTCGCTTCTGGGATGTGTAGCCGAAAGGCAGATCTGCGACTTTGTTAGAGCGCGACTCTCTTCGAAACGACGAGTCGAGCCATTGGCGGCTCTAAACGGCCGCAAGTCGACATTGGACGCCGCGCTGATCCGAAGTCGCAGCTGCGCAGCTGAAATTGGCCGGCAATTGAACCGAATGCCACTGGCGCTCAAGAGGCTCGAGCTCGAGCTCTCGCTTCAGCCAGTCGTTGTGATCAGGAAGAGATGACACCTTGCTGGTCAGGCCAAGAGCGAGTCTGCTCATTGGTACATTGTCAAGAGCAGTGGCCAACCAGAGGAGAAAAGAAGACGGGAGGCGTCGGCAGATAGCGATCTGACTCGAGTAGGTGGCTTCAGCACGCCACCGATGCATCGATTTCGCACTTGTCTTTGGCGGATCTCTGGACCACATGTTGGGCAAAAATGGCCGTCCATCCAACCGAAACTTCGGCAAAGCTTTGACTTCGTATCTCGGAGCTCTCCGACATCCAACCAGCTCGGCCATATAACAGTTCAGGTGTTGACACCCATCCGTTCTCCATACCAACCCACCATTTCCCTACCCCTCTGCCCGGTCACTACAGCGAGGAAAAGGGCCTCCCCTGGCAGTCGGTGGGCATTGACGGCAGACCTTCAACCAGGCCATCTCTGCTGGAATCTCTGCTGGATCGGCCCGATCGTCATTTCCTCGTCGCTAGCTGTCGAATCGCGCCAACTTCCAAGTCTTGGATTTTGCAGCACCGCTTCAGTTCGGATCTGAGCGTTTTTAAGCGCGCGGAGCCTCGGATTGGGACCGGTCGTTCGGTTACTCTTGCCGGCCCCGCGCTCTGGGCCTTTCAGCTGGGCGACGGCGCTGTGACCCCCCTCATCCACATTCCACTCTCCTGTCCAACCACTTTCCTCCCAACGCCTTCTCTCTCAATCACCACACCCCGCTCCTGCCAAAACCTAGTCCATCGCGAAGCTCTCGTCACCATGATCAACACTCCTCTTACCGAAAAGCTCGGCCTGCGCGTGCCCCTCGTACAGGGTGGCATGCAGTGGGTCGGCACGCCCGCTCTCGCCGCCGCCGTCAGCAATGCCGGTGCTCTCGGAACCCTGACCGCCTTGACCCAGCCTTCGCCCGAGGCCCTTCGCAAGGCCATCCGCGAGACCAAGTCGCTCATCTCCGAAGACATCCGCAAGGAGCGTGAGGGCAAGTACGGCTCGTTTGCCGTCAACATCACCCTCCTCCCCTCCATCAACCCTCCCGACTACGTCGGATACGCCAAGGCGGCGCTCGAGGAGGGCGTCCGCATCTTTGAGACCGCCGGCAACAACCCCGGCGAGGTCATCAAGGTCGTCAAGGCGGCCGGTGCCTACGTGATCCACAAGTGCACTGCCGTCCGCCACGCCCGCAGCGCCGAGCGCCTCGGTGCCGACATGCTCTCGATCGACGGATTCGAGTGCGCCGGTCACCCCGGTGAGGACGACATCGGCGGTCTCGTCCTCATGGCTAGGGCCGCCGAGGAGCTCAAGATCCCCTTCATCGCCTCGGGCGGTATCGCCAACGGCCAGGGCCTTGCCTCTGCCCTCGCTCTCGGTGCCGTCGGCGCCAACAGTAAGTTTCGCAGTCATCCATCACAGCGGCACGACGTACATGGCTAACCAACTCGCCGTCTACTTGCAATGACGCAGTGGGCACGCGCTTCATGTGCACCAAGGAGGCCGAGATCCACGACAACATCAAGCGTGCCATCGTCGAGTCGGACGAGCGCAACACCACGCACATCTTCCGTACGCTGCGCAACACTGCGCGTGTCTTCAAGTGAGTACCCCTGATCTTGTCCTTGTCTTTCTCTCGTATCGTGTCTGCTGGCTCCTCGCGACCCCAGCTCAGAGAGGCTGCTGGCGGGAGTGCAACCAATGGAAGGGCCGCCATCAACTTTGTGAGCTTGCACCTGGCCCTCCACTGCGTCGACCGGGCTGCGACACCTTTTTCGGGGCCCTTTCATTGGGTGAGTAACCGCGAAGCAAAAACATCACTCACAGAGCTGTTTGAAACTGACGCCATTCCTCCCCTGCTCTTGCATATCGATCAGTGACGAGCCTCGGGATTCCAACCGGTCTTCGTCGGATCAGAGTACTGCTGGTGCCGTCACCGCCGAGCCGGGCACAGTCGACCAGCCCGGCCATGATCCAAACAAGCCGCCGGACCCGAAGCGTGCAAGCCAGGAGCGCGAGATCGAGCTGCGACGACAGGCTACCAAGGAAGGTGCCGTCGAGCTGCTCGGAACGCGCGATCCGGACAGCTACGCGCTGCAGGAGGAGCACCAGCGCAAGTGGAACGCCTGGGGCCTGGCCAAGAGCTACCTGAACGACGAGATCGATCACACGGCGGCCAACGTACCGCTGGCATGGCAGGCGTTCCTGACGGGAATGGTCGACATGCTGCTGTACAGCCGTTCGCAGGTGTGGCTCGGCTTTCAGACAGGCAATATGGTGCAATTCTCGTCCAACATTGCGCAGCTCATCATCCCCGGCGTCGAGAGACAGCCGCTGCTGACGCTTCTGCGCATCCTCAGCGTCATCGGCTTCTTCCTCGGCTCGCTGGTAGGCTTCCAGTTCGGTCGCCGCATCGGCCATCAGAAGCGCAGCTGGCTTATTCTCTCGAGCGTGATCCAGAGCGCTTTTCTCTTTGGCGGCGCGGGCATCTTGCTCAGCAGACCCAAGAACGAGCTGCCATCGTTCGACTGGTATCCGGGCGTGATTGTGCTGGTGGCCTTCTCGATGGGCATGCAGAGCATCCTGGCGCAGAAGCTCGTCTCGCCAGCGTTTGCAACGACGGTAGCATTCACGGCGACGCTCACCCAGATCGCCTCCGACCCGTACCTCTTCCACCTGTTGCCGTCGGAGAAGACCCGGGGCCGCGATCGCAGGATGCTGGCTGTGCTGGCACTGTGTGTCGGTGCGGGCGTTGGCGAGTCCTTGCTGCACACCAGCGCCAATCTCAGCGGCGGCATCGCCATCAGCGCCGGCTTCAAGCTTGTGCTTGCTCTTCTTTGGCTTGTGCCCGAAGGCAAGAAGAGCAACACGGCCAAAGGATCCAAAGCCTAGACGCCGTTCCCTCCCCAAATTTCCTGGAGCCGTTTATAAGTCCCCTTGCCCTGTAGACCAAACAACTCATCCATCTGTCCCCTTTCTCCTCTTTCCACCCCTTTCCTACTTTCCTACTTGGCTCGGCGTACGGTGGTCTTGTAGGAACAAGGTGTCGATGGAGGTGGTGCGCCTCGAGAACCGACCGGAAGGCGCCAAGTTCGAGGACGTGCGCGAGCTCGTGTCGGGNCGGTGGTCTTGTAGGAACAAGGTGTCGATGGAGGTGGTGCGCCTCGAGAACCGACCGGAAGGCGCCAAGTTCGAGGACGTGCGCGAGCTCGTGTCGGGCGCGCGTGGCAAGACGGTCTATGAGACCGGTGACATTGACGCCGGCATCTGGTCGGCCGGTATCACTGTCGGTCTGATTCACGACATTGTAAGTGCTGGCGCGGTCAAGTCGTCTTCGAAGGAAAGGAAGCTGACTCGTTCTTATTTCGGGCGGTGTTTTGATAGCCTTCATGCAAGGAGCTGTGCGCCAACATTGAGCGCGATGCCGAGACGCACATCAACCGCCTCAGCACGCTCGTCGCCCAGAAGGGCAGCAGCTCCGCTGCTCGTGAGGCCAAGCTCTAAGTGGCGTGGCCAGCAGCTGTAGAAAAGCATTGCCGGTGCTGTTAGTGCATCGGGTGATCTCGTAGAACCTGAAGTCCCGATAACGCCGTTCGTGCCCCCTTCACTTTCGCTGCAGAGTGATGCGCTGTGGCGCGAGTGTGTGAAGCACTGAGTCTTGAGTGTGGTGAAGGTTGGGTTGAGCCGAGCCAAGCCGGTGAGAGCGCGAAAGACGCCGCAAAAATGGCCGATGCGGAAAAGGCGCTTCCGTAGATGGCGAGCGCGTGGTCGGCTATGGAAGCGGGCGGGTGCTGTCTGCCGCTTTGGGCGGTGCGAGTGGCCGTCCGTGCGGAGCTGCAACTGGGTGGATTGCCGTATTATCCAGCCGCTATCTTCTTCCATTCCATCAATTCCTTCCCTTCCAGTCGTCCCCCAACGCTCCCATCAGTCCACTCCGAGACTTATCCCACATACCCTCTTCGCAGTTAACAGGCTCCATCACTATATCTAGCTAGCCACGATGACTGGCTGCTTTGCATTCCTCAAGCCCTCTCGCGCTCGGGCCAACAAGATGAGCGACCACGGATGCACGTGCAAATGCTCCCAGCACGCCGGCGCACTTGCTGCTGCTGCCCCAACCGCCGCCACTGCTGCAGCCGAGAAGAGCCCGCTGAGTGCCTCGATGTACTACGATGCGTGCAATCCGCCTCCCTTTGAGCCGGGTCAGGTGCAGCGTTGCTGTGGCGGCTTTGCTGGCGACGGACTGGCGCACTCGCACCTGCCCACGTACGGCGACTCGCAGAAGCACGCGCACCACACCGTGCGATACTCCGAGCCCAACGTCGACGCGCAGCTGAGCGACGCTGTCGCCGAGGTGGCCAAGTCGATCGAGGCCGAGATGGAGAAGCTGGACAAGGAGCTGCGCGAGCTCTCGCTCGACATGCACGACCATCCGGAGATCATGTGGGAGGAACACAGGACGCACGACCTCTTTGTCAAGTACCTCTCCGGCAAATCTGGCTGGAAGGTCACCCCGCACGCCTATGGGCTCGACACCGCGTTCAAGGCGGTCTTTTCGCACAAGGCCGATAAGGACTCGCGCGTGATCGGGTTCCAGTCGGAGCTCGATGCGCTTGCGGGTATCGGCCATGCATGCGGCCACAACCTCATCGCCATGTCCGGCGTCGCTGCTGCCCTCTCGGTTGCCTCTGCACTCGTTGAGAAGGACATTGCAGGTACCGTTGTGCTGCTCGGTACTCCGGCCGAGGAGGGTGGTGGAGGCAAGATCAAGCTCGCCGACGCAGGCGCATACAAGGACATGGACGCGTGCCTTATGATTCATCCCGCCGCCATGTCTGGTACGGGCGCCATGCTTGCAGTGCATCCCGTGGTGGTGACGTACAAGGGCCGTACTGCACACTCGGGCGCTGCGCCCTGGGAGGGCATCAATGCGCTCGACGCAGCCGTGCTTGCGTACAACAACATCTCGGCGCTTCGTCAGCAGATCCAACCCAACGAGCGCGTGCACGGCATCATCAAGGGCAACAACTGGTCTCCCAACGTCGTCCCTGGCGAAGCCACGTTGATCTTCAACATCCGCGCGCCTACAATCTCGGCGCTTAAGGCGCTCACTGCGCGTGTGCAGAAGTGCTTTGAAGCGGCAGCACTCGCCACGGGCTGCACGGGCGAGTACGACTGGCAAACCGCCTATGCCGACGTGCACAACACTCCCTCGCTTTCCGCCACGTACGCCAACTTCCTCGACCAGCGTTACCGCATCCATGTGCCCAACGACGACTTTGCAGCCTCGACGGATTTCGGCAACATCACCTACACCCTCCCCTCGCTGCATGCAGAGTATGCGATCCATCTCGACGACCCGCGCACCCAGGGAAACCACACCGTGGGCTTTGCAGCTGCCGCTAGGACCCAGGAGGCCCACGACAGGACAAAGGAGGCCGCACTCGCCATTGCTGTTACCGGCGCAAAGGTGCTCGTCGACAAAGAGTTCCGCGACCACGTGTGGAAAGAGTGGTCCGCATGGCGCAAGGCTGCCGACGGTCCCTAATCCCAACACGACCCGTTGCACGTGCAGGCCCAGTAACACCGTGATGAACGAATCAAACGAAATTGCAAATCTATACCGAGTGCAGAGACGGAGCATGGTGGTCGTTATCGCGAGTCCGTGAGTCGTAAGACAAAGAAGGGGGTTCGGCTAGGCTGTGATCCTGAGCGAGCCGACTTCAGGCATCTCCTGCACGCTCGCCAACGCCGCCTCGGCAAGGGTAGGGTTGGCGCTGCCCAGGTCCGCGAGCAGCTTGGCGCTCTTGGCCGACGCGATGCTCGACGAGCGCGAGTGGTGCGGGCTGAGGTCGTGCGCCATCTTCTCGGTGCGCGCCGCGTGGATCGCCGCGAGCTGCGAAGGGCTCAGGTTGCGTGTGGGCGGCACGGGATGCTGGGGAGGAGCACCGTTGCCCAGCACGGCTACTTGCACGCTAGCCGTATCGGCGGCTTCGAGCGACGGCCTCTTTTTGAATGCGTGCCGCTTCGGAGCCGATTCGGGCTGTGCAGCCGCTTCTCGCGTGAGGAACGGAGGTGGCGCTGCTCCGGGCGCGGGGGTGGGGGTCACGGGTGCCGGTCCGTCGAGCGGGTAGTCCCATGGTCGCGGGACTAACGCGAGCGGCATGAACCACGTGCCGGCGATGCAGACGCCGTGGCCCTGGTCCTGTGCCTGGATCGCCTTGTACTCGACCTCCATAAAAGTGGAGATGTACTTGATAAACGGCAACAGCTCGGGCACGCCGCCGCCGACCGCCATGGTCTGCAGAAACGACAGGAACGCTCCAGAAACCGAGTGCGCCGTGCCGAGGTAAGCCATGGAAGCCTTGGGAAGCGTGATTTCGAAGCCCCACCAGTGCACAAAGATGGCCATGCGGTCCAGCGGCGGGTGGATCGCGTCCATGTCTTGCGTGGCGCGGATCGCGGCGCCGGACACGTTGGCGAGCACGTCAAACGCGCCCGAGTTCTGCGCGACTGTTCCGACCGGATCGAGGATGAGCTGCAAAGGTGCCGAGCCCATGAGGCGCTGGCCATCCCCGAGCGTAGGCAGGTTGGACACGGACAAGCTCTTGATCATGGGCGGCCGCGCGCTCGTCGATGACCCGTCGGCCTTCGCCTTTTCAGGCTCTGCTGGCTGAGATCGTGCGCTCAGCAGGCCTCCGACACCCATCAGAGCTGCTGCAGCTCCGGAAGCTACCGCAGTCACACTTAGTCCTGTTACAGTCTGTACATCGCTTGAGCCTTCGCTAGTGACGACCTTGGCTGCCTCGAGATGGTCGGCGTGCCGGCGGTGTGCCTCGTGCTCGCCACAGTCGAGACAAACCATCTTGAGAGGTCGAGCTCCCGGTTTCGCTCCTCCTTGCTTGGCTGCCGGAGGTGTCGTTGCGGATGGTCCTGGCACGGATGCCGGTGATATTGCGACTGCTGCAGTATTGCTCTCCTCTGCAGGAGGCGGTAGGGACGAGGTCCGAGCTGTGGGCACTGCTTGGCGAGGCGTCGTCGCAGCATCAGCCTGGAGAGTGATCTTCCTCAGAGCCTCTTCTGCCGCCGATCTGGCCTTGTGCTGCATCGGCGGTCGTTCGGCAGTGCTCTTGGCAGCGGACACAGTATCGAGCTCACCGGCCACAGCTTCTGCACGCTTTCGGATCTCGCTGTCATCCTTACTCTTGGGACCCTCGAGCGCTGTGTCGGGGAGGTTGGTGACGAGGATGCGCTCCTGACCGTGCTCGCCGGCGGTGCCAATCTCGGTCTCGGGCATCATCCTGCCCAAGCCGCTGCGCAGGGCATCAAGCGGCACTGGCATGGAGCGAAGCTCGCTGATAATGTTGTTGGCCAGGTCGACATCAAGCAGTGCAGATTTGAGCCCGCGTAGCTGGGATCGGTCGACGACAGGGATGGGTTTGGCACGCGGGACGTGCTTCTTCTTGCCTCCCTTGGCGTTCGCATCGGCATAGTTGGCCTCGGTAGCATGCCGTGCCGAGCTGACGCGGGCAGGCACGGGGTGGAGGCCCATGCCTGCGTTGATGACCTGCTCGAGTGTCTTTGCATGGCGTGCAGCCAAAGCCTGGTGCTTGGTCACCTTGACTTTGGCCGCCTTGCCTTTGTCGCGGGAGCCGTCGGCGGCAACACGATGGATGCCCTTGCGATCCCAGCGGAAGAGGCGACGCTTGGCCGCAGCAGCACCGGGCAGTGCAGCGCGGTCCTCAAAGGCCTCGTGTGATGACGACGAAGTGGCATCGGAAGTGCCGGTGTGGACCGAATCCAAGCTGGGACGATGCGTGGGATCGTGAAGGTCAGACGTCGACTTTGACTTGAAGCCTCGCCATTTGGCCAGGTTGGCCTTCTTCCTCTTCGATTTGGCCGCGCGCAATGGGTGAGATTCGTGGTGCGGTGGGCTCGGCTTGGCCGACGATTCGGAGGCAAGTGCGGCAAAGGCCAGCGCTTCTTCGCGGGCCAGCGCCGTTTCCTCGGTGGATGGGCTGAAGCTCACCCGATGTGGTGATGCGGTTCGAGATGCGCGACGTGCGGATGCATCGACGGAGCTTGTGAGCGCAGAGCGTTTCGGGAGAACCTCGGTGAGAGGTGCCAGTTGTTGTGTGGTCACATTCGGCACAGACCCGTGTGCCTGCGGCGGTGTAGGCGGCCTGGCCCCTTTGGAAGCTGAGTGGTCACTGCTGCTCGCAACATCCGATTCGGGAGCTTCCGATATAGCTGTCCCGTCGACAGCGGCCACACTTGCAGTGCTGACCTTGCGAGGCGATGCCAGGAACGGAAGGCGCAAGGCATCGAGACTGAACCGATTCTTCCCACGCCCTGCTGGCTGAGCAGCAGCAGGGGCAAGGTCGACAGCCTCGGACGAGGTCACCCCGGGCGAGACCGCATTGTCGATCGATGCGGCAGCCGCCTGGGCTGTCGTCGCAGAAGCAGTCATTGTGCTCGACAGCAAACTGATCCGCTACAAGGCCATGATCCGCTCCAAGGTTGTGGTGGCGGGGCGAAAGGGTGGAGGCACAGATGGAGGGAGCTGCAGGCGTCAATCGTTTGAAGGGGATGTTGTGATGTCCACAGTGGAGCTCTTGGCCGGGCTCAGGGGCGCATCTACGCTTTCCGAAAGAGGCAAGGCTGCTGCCCTCTCATGCGGCTGCGGAGGCGGTCTGCATGCAATGCATGAAGCTGCCTTGAGCCCTGTGTTGGTCTCGCCTCGGCCAGGCTCGACCCCTAAAACACGCGTCCGACCCCACTTGCCGTCTCGAGCCTTTGCCGCGAGATGGATTTTTCGAGGAAAATGTTGGGACAATAGGCAGGATGTAACATGCTCAGCTTTTTGTTTTTGCTCCACACCCACCCGACGCGCTTATGCACCTTTCGCGTGGCTGAGCATTCCCGTGGAGCTTTGTGTGGAAGAATTCGTGATTCTCGCCCACGCCACCGCAAGGCACTGCAGTCCTTTCCGGGCTGCCACCACACCGAGTCTGGAGACCGTTGGTAGTGGACGCCAAAGACGGTGTAGAGTGCACCTCAGCCACGATGGCGAGGAGCAGTACCAGTCACCGTGGCCGCCCGTCGGTGCACGAGCCAAATGCGTCCATCTGGCCAATTCAGCTTCTGGACCGAGGCAAGAACCGTTTCAAGGCGCCTTCGTCCTCTGCTACAACCGCCCAAAAGAGGTTTGCATACGTTCCTGTGCCTCTCCTCGACTTTGAAGATCTCTCCTTCTTTGTCAACTTTGATTGGATCGCTGCAAAGCTTGGGTTGGACCCTTCCGGAGGCGAGCCGGATCATCTCCGCGCGGGGGCCAAACGTCGTCATGCCTCGCCGGAACATGACACCGCACGAGCGAAGAGAGCAGTCAAGGACGAAGTCACAGAGCAAACATCGACCGATCTGGCCGACCTCGTAGACACACACTGCCTCTTTCGCGTCAAGGCCCGAGAATCACGCGACATCGATAGCGTACTCGCAATCAAAGAACAGTTGGACCGCCCGTCCACGCATGAACGTCTGCACGTCGCCGATGTCGCCTTCGATCTCGAAGAATTCTCGCCGGGTAGGCCAATGGGATCCGTCATCAGTCGCTCCATACGTCTCCGCGATGTTGACACCGGCACATTGATCGCTACCCTACCTGCCGTGGCAGACGATGCTTCGAAGGATGCAAATTTCGACCCGCACAAGCTCACAAACAGTAGCTGGATCACCTCGCTCTCTCACTTGCTATCTAAAGATGCTGTTACGTCGAGGGCGAGCCTGGACATTGTATCGCATCCTTCAGACTATCCGTCAGAACGTGTGACCGCAGGCTCGCTATTCCTCAAGCTATCCATTCGAGTACAGGCTAAGGTCTCCATCGACGCCACCGGTCGTCTGGCAGCCGATCTCATGCTCGACATGGCCAGACTTGTTCGGCTCGCTCTGCCGCCGAATCAGAACGCACAAGTCGTCGAAGAGGGCCAAGAGATGGAGCGCGACGTCGAGGTCGACGCCGGCTTCGTCTACCGGAATCTGCGACCTGCCTCGCTGAATCCACCGGAATCGGTGCAGCACCCAGACCTTGTCCCCACCCTCCTTCCGTTTCAAAGGAGGTCCACCGCTTTTGTTCTGGGTCGCGAGGGTGTCGTCTTCGATGCACAAGGTAATCTCGTAAAGAGCGACCACATCTATGGCCACAGCGGCCCCAGCGATCTGGGCCTCTGGTGGTGCCGCGTCGATTCGAACCTCTTCTACAACTGGATCGAGGCCAGGTTCGTCCGCGACCCAACGCTCACGCGACTTAGCAACTGCCGAGGAGCGATGCTCGCCGAGGAGATGGGCCTCGGCAAAACGGTGGAAGCCGTGGCCTTGATGCTTTTGAGTCCGGATCCTGACGCCACCTCAAGAGCTGGCTGGTACGATGACCGCAACGAGATCGATGTGGTCCCTACCAAGACCACACTCATCGTCGCTCCCGAGACCTTGCGCACGCAATGGATCGAAGAAATCGAGCAGCACGCCCCCGGCCTTTCCGTCTACTCTTATGCTGGCAGGACCAAGGCTGAGAACGATGTACCAGAAGGTCTCACGTGGGAGCAGTGGGCGCAGCGTTTCGATGTCATGATCATCTCGTATGCCACCCTCTCGCGCGAGCTCAGCACCGCCAAGAGCGAGCGCACGCGATCTCGACGCTTCGAACGCAAGTACGAACGGCCGCGCAGCCCGCTCGTCAAGCTGCACTTTCACCGTGTGCTTATGGACGAGGTACAGATGATCGGCTCGTCAAATGCTGCCGAGACCGTCTCCATGATCTCCCGCGGCTCCTCGGTCGCCGTCTCCGGCACGCCGGTCAAGAAGCTGGACGATCTCAAGTCGTGCTTCCGCTTTCTCAAGGTGCCGGGCTATTTGGCCACACCGGCCGAGTGGCAATCTATCCTGCATCCTCTGCTAGGACCGGCCCTGGTGCAAGTCTTGCAGACCATCGGAACGCGGCACACCAAGGCGCAGGTGGCCGGTGAGATGTCGTTGCCCCTCCAAACTCGCTCGGTCATTCCGATCGATTTTACATCCATCGAAGCTGCCTTCTATGCTGACGTATGGTCGGATGCCCTCAACGATACTGGTTATACCACGGATGGCAACCCGCACTCCCAAGACCACCAGATGGACGTAAGCAAGATGCGGCAGCACCTCTTACTGCTCCGTCAGGCGTGCACCCACCCGCAAGTTGCTCTTCAGTTTCGCGGCGGCGTCGTTGGCTCCAAGAATCTGCGCAGTATCGACGAAGTGCTGGAGCTCATGATCGACTCGACCAGCACAGAGCTGCACAGCACTCGGACTCATTGGTTCGATCGACGCATTCACCGCAACATCCTTGGCCTCTACCGACGCGACGAGGACCAGCGCGTCCTGGCGGCCTCGCAGTTCAGCGACATTGAAGCGGAAATCCATCGAAACGTCACTGTGCTGGAACGGGAAATCCGCGATGCCAGCACTAGCGGTCCCCTTTACCGCTTTACTGCCGACGAGATCGAACTCGAACAGAAGGCCGAAGCACGCAGGAAGCGGATGGACCCCACCGGCGCCGATCAGAAGAACGACGAAGATGCCGATCCGGCTCTCGCAGCGCTGATGGAAGACCCCGAAGCTTACCAAGCGTTACTGGATAAGCGCAAATCCCGGGCTGCCCACGTCACCCAGCTCAAGGCCCTCCTGCGATTCTTGCTCATGAAGTTGCATCGACTGTTGCAGTTCCAAGGAAACCTCTACTTTCAGCGCGGCGAGTTTCTCGACGAGCAACAGAGCGCTACCGTCTCGGCGCTGCCAACAACACCCCCACAGGAATCCTACACAGCAAACGCAGGGCAAGTCAAGGTGGAAGACAATGTCGATATGGTTCGCGATCTGACAACGCCTCCGCTACAATCGGCGGAAGGTGACGTTCGAATCACCGAGACAAAGATCGAGAACGTTCTCAAGCCGACCATGAGTCGGGAGCGTCAAGCGCTCAAGGACAAAGAAGATGCTGCCTATGCCAAGGCTGAAAAGGTTCGACAGCGCCTGCTGGTCGAAGCAGGCGAGGAGGTTCAAGCTGCCATCGCCAGGTTGAACCGCGATCAAGTTGAGCTGGACGCAGCCGCGGTACGAGCGTCGACCGATCTGTTTGAAGAGGGTGGCGGCATCCGAAGCAGCGAGGCTTACGGTATGTTGGCCGACAACGTGCAACTGTTGGACAAGCATGCCCAGGTCCTATTTCGTTGGCGCGGCAGCATCATCGACCGCCTCGTACGCGCCGTGAATCGCGATGTCAGCCTTGAACGCGAGGACGACGATCAATACCAAGAGAATCTGGACACCCAGGCGGAGGCCGAGGTCTTGCTCGAGATGTATCGTCCACTGTTATCCGAGCGCGAAAAGATCCTCAAGGGTGGCGTGGCGGTTGGTGCGACGGATCGACCTCGCTTGTTCAAAGAGCTCGAGGAGGCTGTGCGAATTGCCCGCCAGAACGATCTCCGAGGGATCGAGCCCGAGACCGAGGCGGACGAAGAGCTCATCCGCGTGCAGAAGCAGCAGCTCACGCATTTCAAGACGCTGGACCAAGAACGCAAGTCTGTCTCCCTGTATAATGGCAAGCAATCGGTCGTCAGTGTTATCGAGCAGCTCAAAGCGCTCCGTGACAACAGTCTCAGGAACGAAGAGACGGTGTTGGCGACTCGGGCATATCTAGAGGCTCGACGCATCGTCAACGAGCAGGTCAAGCACCTTGACAAGCTGCGCAACGAGGAGAAGCTGCTGCTGACAGCCCTTTTCAACGCCCGAAGTCGCTACTTCAAAGAGATTCAGGTGCTCTCGGACACGGTGCGTGATCCCATCTTCTCCGACCTCGAACGAAATATCCACTCGACGCAGAAAGAGGAATCCGACGCGGTGAGCAAGGTGGACGAGCTGGAAAGGAGGCTGCGCTACCTTTTGCATCTGCAGAAGGTGCAATCGGCGGACGATCTGGATGACGAGGCCAAGATCTGCAATATCTGTACCGACCCCATCGAGACGGGCATCCTCACCAACAAATGCGGCCACGTCTGCTGCGAGAACTGCTGGAAGGAGTGGCAGTCACAGGGCCATCGAACGTGTGTCCTTTGTCAGACGCGCGTGCTGCCGACCGAGGTGCACCGCATCATTTACTCGCGGCCGCAGGCGTCGGCCAAGAGTGGACAGGTGGCTTCCACAACATCCAGGTCAGGGACGCTCGCCAATGCTGCCACCGGCTTCGGAGCAGATCCGCTGGCAGTGCGCTACAACGAGCTGGACGACAACCTGCGCGGCGTGCTGAACCGATTGGCGACGCAGGGCCGGTTCGGATCCAAGATCGACCACTTGACTAAGCACGTGCAGCACATTGTCAACCAGACGGGCGAAAAATCGCTCATCTTTTCGTCGTTCGGCCGCGGTCTGGATGTGGTGGCGCAGGCGCTGACCGCCAACGGCATCCGCCATGTGCGATTGACCGGCGCGGGCAAGTCCGGCAGCGAATCAGCCAAGCTTTTCCGGAGCGACCCGAACATCCACGTGATGCTGCTCCATTCTGAAGTGCAGAGCTCAGGGCTGAACCTGCTGGCAGCGTCGCACATTCACATCCTCGAGCCATTGCTCAACACGAGCCTGGAGCTGCAGGCCATTGGTCGCGTACACCGTATCGGACAGACCAAAGAGACGCACGTCTGGTGCTACTACGTCAAGGACACGGTCGAGGAGAGGATCCTTGCGCTCTCGGCCTACAAGGGGCAGAGCATCTACTTGGCCGGCCGCAACACGAGCGCGACCGACGGGAGCATGACACTGGCAACGTCGTCATCCAACAAGTCGGCAGCCGCCGAGCAGGCGCGGCAGGACGCCAAGAAGTGGTCTGCGTTTGGCAAGGGTGCCAAGTCCGGCAAAGCTGGCGCCATCCGCGGCGACATTACGAGCAACACCGCCGAGCTGCTTGCGTGCTTCTTCGCACGCTTCCTTCCGGCGCTGGGATCGATACCAGCAAACCAATCTTCTGCGATCTCGGCGAACTCCGCAAGCGCCAGCGGCTCAAATGGTCATACGGTCGCAAATGGCGAGGTGGGCAGCGGGTCCGAGGAGGTGGAAGATGAACGCACAAGGCTGCGTCGAGCCCGACTGGCTGCGCTTGAACAGCGGCAGGCGGGTCAGAGCTCGTAGATGCGTGCCAATCCAAGAGCCTTTCACACATTGTTCGGCGTGCTGCCCAAGTCATCCACTTCGGCTCCGAGTGGCAATATGTCCGATGCCAGAGAGGGATACTGTGCTTGTGTCGTCATGTGTCACGGATTTTCAGGAGGTTGAGTGGTTGGTGCCTGCACGGTGTCGATTCTGACTGGGAGTGAAGAAAGCGTTGAAATCCTGATCGCATCATCGGCTGTCGTTGGAATCAGACCCTTCGACGAGCCGTTCTCAGTCGCGCTTCCGACAGAAAAGACCTCTCTCACAGATTGCTCTTATGCTCAACCCTCGACAGGAGTGGCACGACTTGCAGTCGCGCGTGAGTTCCTCCTCGTTGCTAGTTGTTTTCGATGGCTTTTAGCGTACGAATAGATGCATTTTGACGGGAAAAGGGACAAGGGCTTGATACAGTAGCATGCGCGTAAGGCATGAGGGCGAATGAAAATGTGAAGCTGCTATGTGGAATGGCAAAGGTTGATCACGGACGAGGAGCTCGTTGTCGTCGAGGCGCCCTGCGTCCCGTTGGCTCGTCGGCGTCGTTTACGTCCGCCTCTCTCGTCGTTGGGGTCCGCGTCCTTCTAACTCGTGTTGTGGCTGGTGCTGGCGGCGTACGTCCGTCTCTTTCGTAGAATGAGCCCGGCTGTCTAAAGGGCGTGAACAAGTGCTCTGGGTCCGCCTGCCTTTCGAGCGAGGGCCAATCGGCATAAGCACCGTCAATGACGATGCAGAGGGACCGTTCGAACAGCTGAATCGATCTGAGATAGTTGTTTGTCTCCAAAAAGACGGACAAGATGTGGCGCAGTGCAACGCGAAGGTCATCTCCACTGTCCAAGTGATAGAGGATATGAGGGTGGAGATCTTCATCGGAGCGGGGAGACTTGATGATGATCATGCCCCGGCAGCAATCAGGAGCTGGCCCGTCATAGCCCTCCTCGCCTCTGCCGATCAGAACCATAGTGAGCGATGTTGAGTCTGCCTTAGCGCCGATGGTTGTCTATGGTGATATAGGGTGTGATGAAAGAAACAGGGTGATGAAAAACGGGCAAGTGGGTTAAAGAGGGGCAAAGAAGAAAGAGGGGTACGAGGAGCAGAGATGAAGGATGTCAAGACGTTCGACGCAAGGTCTCAATCCTTTTATGCGTTGCCACGCTTGCGCAACGTGCTCTCCGGCTGCGAGTCAGCTAGGATCACTGACAGTGGACTGTGTCACAGTTTCTCCTTGTCGCGCGAGCTTTTCATGAGATCACACGACTTGAACACGAAGCATGTCGTCGTGTTATGGTGGTCCCTGCGCACGCGCTTCCGCTATCTTCATCTTGGAGATTGACTTTACGCAGAAAAATGAAGGTCGACTGCGTAAAAGGTCCCACCGGCTGAGAGTTGACGTCTCTCGAATGACACTCGCCTCCCCGTGTAATTACTGCACAGCGCAATGCATTGCATTTGCAAACAGCCGATATCGTAACCTTATCTTCAGAGCAATCCAATTTCACGTACACTCATCCTGCTTTATCGTGGCTCGAGGATCAATTGATGCATTGCAGAAACGAGCGGGCAGCGATCGACTTTCAGCTCACTGGCACACGTGACGCAGGATGGGGGAAGAAGGGGAATCGATTGAGACTAGATCAGTGCAGACCTTGAGCTCTCACTCGCGTTGTGAGGCTGAAGCGCAGTGACGGACGGCAAATAGAGGTGGTAGAGGGCAAGGAATTTTCGACAAGAGCTGGGGGACAGAGATCGAACCAGTCGACCGTCATACTGTGCGGGGGAATGAACGAGCAGCAGGAATCTGTCCATCTGGACAGTTCTAGTTCTATGGCGAGGCCGAGATCTATCGTAGGACCGAAGACCACGCGACATGCGGCAGGATTCATCTAGGCAGCGACGCACCTGCAGTCAGTGAGGCATGAAAATACACCGTTGCAACGAATACTGCAACGCCTGTTAAAGGCACATCTAGCCCCACGGCGTCGTACCGGGCCGACTGGACAGCTTCTGCCGGGCTTTCCCATCATGATGCATCGAGCGGTGTTGAGCTCGCCTTCGTCGACAGGGGGCGCTACCTTTGGTTCGGCCGGAACGTCGAAGTCGTTGACAGGAGGCGCTGGGTTCGGCTCGATCGGAGCGTCGCCGACGACGCCCTTGCAGAGGACGATGATGCAAATCATCATCACAAAAAGCTTGGGAAGGTGCAGAGCGTACATCTTGTCTACCGTCTTCTCTTGATGGAGTGGTGTGAAATGCTTGTGTATTAAGGAGGTATCTGGCTAGATGGGGTTTGAATCGATGAGGAAAGTTGGACAACGAAGGAGGAGGAATGGCCACTTTGGGAGAAGCCTTTTATGCCATTGTATCTGCGTCTCTGCCCATCATAGAGTATGCATCAAGTAGTGTGATGCTTTGCCTCGTTGAGCTCAATTCAGCGACATGGGCCAGTCATTTCGGCAAAAACATACAGTATCGAAAGGACGTGCAGCGTTCCTTTCATTCTGCGGCCCAAGACACGCTATGATACCGTACAGTACTTCATCACCTCCGAGCGATGCACATCCACCGAGCTCAATAATGACTTCCGCTTTCGAAGACCGAGTTGAGCCATTGTTCAGGGTGTTCGGTAGGTCCGTCTCGAAAGTCGACGATGTGAGATCCTTCCAAGCTCATCAATGGCGTGAGAAAGGGCGTCTCGAGCATCGAAAGAGTATCCTATCTCATCTGCAACCTTTGACAGCGTTCTTCTCCGTAAGCATCCAAGATTCCCGAGCTCATGAAAATTTGAGTGCCACATATGAAACGGACGTATCACACTGTGGAGCATAGTGTGCATACGACTTATTGTAGCGACGCGTACTGTACATTCTCATAAGAGCGTATCGACCTTCGTACCGACGAACTACTCTGTGGCGTGAGAATGATTCAAAGTTGTGCATTCTCAAGCTGAAAGAAAAGCTTTGAGCCCGAGAACGACAACGTCGAATGTGGTGACGAAGCGAAGGACGGTGTCGAATGTGGTGGCGACGCGAAGGACGGTTCTACAGTCGGACGTCTGTAGAGATGCCGCGACACCGTGTGCGGAAGGGATACACCTAGACAGCAATGCACCTGCAGTTTAGAACGCACCCGATTATACCGTTGCATCTTATACTGCACCTTCTTCCTGTGTAGCCGCAACGAGCCCCAGTGCGTTTTATATCGCCGACTGCACAGTTCCTGCCGGGCTTAGAAGTCATATAGCATGGAAACGCCTCGCTCTCGCCCACGTTGTCAGGAAGCGATAGAGTTTTCTGGGTCTGAGCGTCGCCGACGACGCCGTTGCAGAAGAAGACGATGCAGACTATCGTCACGAAGAGCTTTGAAAGATGCAGACTGTACATCTTGTCGAATGTTGTCTCTGGGAGGACGGGAATGAGTTGCTTGTTGATTGAGCAGATGTTGGGCTAGAGTAGGCTTGAGGACGAGAAGAGATGAACAACGAAGGGAGACAATTGAAGACTTTGGGACACGCATTTATATGCTTGTGCAGCTGCGTTTTCTATCATCAAGCGTCTTTCAAGCAGCGTCTTGCTTTGCTTCGCTTGCTTCATTCGGCTCGCTTGCTTCGCCAAAGTCTGCGGGCGAGATGAGCTGACCGTTTCAGCAAAAGAGAATCGTCAGGAAGTACAGCCTCGCCTGGCATGGCTAAAAGCATGCTGTTTTCCCAGCGTCGGTCACTTCCGGGCATGCACCTGGCTACGTTTCGCTCCCTATGCTCCGCTGCTCAGTCTGCACTACTCTCTTTGAGAGAGGAATAGCCACGGCGTCTTGACCGGCGAGCCTTGTCTAAGGCGCGACTTGGCCATCGTGATGCGCCATCAGATGCATGCACGCTTCATGGTCGTGACACGGCAATTCAGCTCCCTCATGTGAAACAGACGTACTGGCAGGCATACTGTAGTGTGCATACGATTTATTGCAGCGACGCCTTCATACTAGTGGGAGCGTATCGACCTCCAGGATCGAAAACTAGTCTATGAGCCGGGAACGTTTCGAGTGCATTCTCTAGCTGGAAACAAAAGCTTCGAGCCCGAGAACAACGTCGTCGAAAATGGCCGTGGAGTGAAAGCAATGATCTACAGTAGGACTACTGTAGAGATCTCGCGGCACCGTATGCGACAGGATGCACCTAGGCAGCAATGCACCTACAGTTGGTGGTGCATCCAACCATGCCGTTGCATTTAATGCTGCACCTCTTGTTGAAGGAGCAGCTGGCTCCAGCGTTCAGCATCACGCCGACAGCACAGTCCTTGCCGGGCTTGGAAGTCATGATGCACTGACTGGCCTTGATCTCGTCAATGCCGTCAGCGAGCGACAGGTTGGGCTCGATCAGGGGGTCGTTGATCTGAGCGTCGGCAACGACGCCCTTGCCGAGGAGGACGATGCAAGCCACCACCACAAAGAGCTTGGAGAAGTTGAGAGCGTACATCGTGTCGAGGGGTGTTTCTTGAGAGAGTAGTTGTGAGTTGATTCTGGATTGAGAAGTTCAGAGTATGCTTGAATAGTCGAGAAGAGATGAGGAGCGAGGGGAGACGATTGAGCATTTCGGAGTCGCTTTATATGCTCGTGAAGCTGCGTTTCCGATCGTTGTCGGGCGTGCTTCAGGGAGCGTCTTACTTTGTTTGCTTTGCTCGACTCGGCGAGCCCGATGGGTCAACCGTGTCGGCAAGGGCATGTGCTCAGGAAGCACAGCGTCGCCTGGTGTGGTCCGAGGAACGCTACTACGCTGTAAAGTACAGCACATCAGCTCCAAGTGATGCGTGGCGACCGAGCGCAAAAGCGGTATCGGTTTTTCGAAGGTCGAGTTCCACCATCATCGATAGTATAGCGAGATTCGAAGATTCGCTCCGAGACCATTGCCATACGTACATGCTACTGTACACTGGTATCCTCCTGCGACCAATTGTGGCGTGAGGAAAGTACCTCGAACACCGTAAGAGCCTCCTACCTCGCCCACACCAATTGACGGCGGGCCTTTCCAACGCTCTGCCTTGGTTCGCAATCCGAGAAGGAAATTCGAGCTTGACATACTGTTTACTGTTTGCTGGCGTGGGAGCGATCCATGGTCCCACAGCGCATGCTCCAGCCGGAACAAAAGTCCCGAGCCCGACAGGAGCATGGAAATGTGTCATGTGGTACGGTAACGCCGAGGATGGCCACAAAATGAAGGCAAACTTGGTTTTTGCACATGGTTCGCCCACCGCCTTTGCTGCAAGATGAGTACAGCAGAACCCCCGGATCGGTTCCTGGTTCTCAAGCACTGCTGCTGCATGCGCGAACGTCGAGGGACCGCGGCTTGGAGTCTCTTTACAAGGCACAAATGAAGTGTCTCAGCTGAAGAAAACATAGATCTCGAGGCCGTATACGAGCCGCCCCGAGATGTACGGGCCTCCAAGACGATACGATACCTGAGCTTGATCGCAGTCGGAACCCTCGTTGACTCAGCTTCCCACGCTCGCTCGTCGCTGCATGGCTCTGATCCCAGGCGAAGCTGACGACGCCGTTTGCTGTTCGTGTTCAATAACGCATGTAACTTCTTCGTCAGATGCCACTGGTCGAAGTTCGAGTCGTGGGAGCCTGGTCGACGTTCGGATCGTGGGAGTCTGCGGCTGTGCATTCTATGCCTCTGATATCAGGCGACGACGGCAGATTTGGAGGCGATGCAACGGGTGCATTGACAGGATGCGACTATCAGTGCGCGACACAGCATATTCAAAAGGTAGGAGACCAGATAATGCTCAACAGCTCCGATCCGATGAGAACGAGACCCAAAAATAGAGTCTGAGCAACGAGCAGCGGCTGAAAAGTGATGGCAAACTCTTCTGTTTGGGGCTGTGTCGATGTCTCTTTCCATTATAAGGGCTCTACAGCTGCTTAGAAAAAAGGTATCCTGTCCATTCGAGATTGGGACCGTGCTTATCGGGCACTTCGAAGGGGCCGACGGGTTGGAATCCGAGACGCTCGTAGTACCTGTGCCAGTCCACGGCGAGAGATTAGCATGGGAACGACGAGATCGGGAGGGGAATGGGAACAGTACTTACTTTATTAGGCCGTCGTTGTTGCCGCGCCAGCAGTCTCCGTAAAAGATGGCTTTACCCAGGGCTCGAGCCTGGCGTTCTGCGAGGGGGATAAGGTTGGCAGCTGCGCCCTTGGCGAGGTCGCCGGCGCGGCGGTCCGAGATGAGGTAGTTGAGGTAAGCGTAGTTGCCCGCAGCCTTCGCGCCCTCGCCTGCAAGACTTTCGGGGACGTAGTCTGGGAAGTCGCAGGAAACGCCGAGCGCGGCTACTCGTGTCCAGAGTCCATCGGGCGTGCGAACCTCGTACAAAACAAGGTGCTTCCAGTCCTTCTCATCCGTCACGGAGCTGGATTCGGCGCTGTAGATATCGTAGCTGCGCTGAGCATAGGCGGAGAACAACGATTTGACCTTTGGCTTTTCTGAGAACGGCGTCGTCCCCCACTGCGCCTCGGATCCGATGGAAGCGAGGTAGGGAAGGGCCGAGTCGAAGGCGTGGATGACAAAGTCGACGTCGCTCTCTTCGGCGTTGGCCACGCCGAGCTCCGACAGCGTTTGTGAGGCGCCAGTCTCGGGCTGAGCTGTGCGCAGCCTCCCTGCTCCGTCGTGAACCAGCTCTATCATGGTCTATAGCGTGATGATGCCGCAAGAGGTGTGAAGAGAAGGGATGTGGGGAGGTGGAACAATGCGCAGTTGGCAGGTGCGCCATGTTCGGTGTTTAGATCGGCTGTCAGGCTTCCGTGCCTGCATTAGGGCGGTTTCGGGCGCAACCGTCGTGTTGG